AGAAATTTTTTAAGTAGGTATATACTTAATTTTTATTGTGGTAAGGTAGTATCTGGTTTGTCTTTTCGTTTTTGGGACTTGAAGCTAAAGATCTCTCTTCATATTACATGTAAAGGGCACCTCTGTCTCTCCCCTATTACAAGTAAAGACGATCGCACAACTTAATCCTAATGCAATCAAATAAAAATCACAACAAGAATGACAGTAATGATAGGCAATTGTCATACCATGGATCTTTAGCCACATAGTTTAGTGCATGTGATCCTAATAATATTGAAAGTAAGTTACCAAAAAGAGAGGTCAATATTTTACTTATATTTTCTATTTGATTTCAAAAGTTCCATCAAAATATCCATGATCATGAGTTCTAATAATAATTGAAAATAAACAAATAATTGATAAGTTAAATATATTTTAATAAATTTCCCATAATGAATAGTTTATTAAAATAAACTTCCCATAAATATACTAAAGACATTTTCCTAGTAGTTAAGCACCTGTGAAGTCCTAGAGCGGTGGCAAGCCCTGCAATCCCTCCTCCCACTATCACAATGCCTTCATTTGGTGAACCCTCGGCCACCATTTCTCACTTCCTTCCTTCTCAGGCATCAAAGAAGTAGAAGAAGGCAAGTATATGAATAGGACCGTGCATCAAGTCCTTCCTCCAAGGGATAACATGTGGGCAGCGTCAGTGCTTACGTTCCTACATGTGTTTGTATTTGCCATGTGTCATTGACAAACCTATCCGTTTTCTTTTCGGATGGATGCAAATACCCACGTATTTGCCGTGTGTTTTTGTCGTGTGTCGTTGATAACCATGAGACCATTTACTTTTGATACAATGTGGTCACAATTATTTATAACTATGAAGTTTGATAGTTGGGATGTATCATAAAATATGAAAAAAAAATTTAAAGTTTGAACTTGGTTAATAGAATAATTGCAGCCACCCAATTTCATACTTTCTCGTTTTTTTTAAATGTTAGTAGGTAGTGTCAACAAGAATGAAAACCACAATATGGTAACTAGATATGAGGGTGTTATCACGATGACCCAACTCCTTTTCTTGCTTCACCCATGTTTAAAGGTCGATATGATCCATAGTGTCATGGCTCATGATAACAGAGTGATTGTGAGTTATTTCGGATATGAGTAATATCAATTTCAAAATGGAAAAGGTTTATATACTTCCTATACAACGTAGAAGATATATGCTTCTCTTTTATTCAACCGTTTGATTTAGATCAAGTGAGTCACTCATTGTTTGATCTAGATCCGACACCTCATAGTATTTTATTTTTAGTTTTTTTTTACAATTGTATGAATATAAAATTTGATACATGCCATCTTGTCCACGAGCCGGAGCTAAAAAAATATTTCAATAAAATATAATAATCAAAATACCCCTTAAAACTTTTAGAAGTATTTGAGTTATTTTAATTTATTAAGAGTATTGTTTTTATATGTTTTACAAGGCGAGTTTAAGAGATAAGTTGGCATCTAAAATTTGGTGTCAAAATATTTTGTAAAAAAAAAATAGTGCAGAGACGTGACATTGTGATTTGAGTCATCTCAACCATCCATTCAAAAAGAATAGTTGGACAAGGGGAAGTGTATGAGTTTTATGCTATAGGGAAAGCATATAAAGCTTGGCCTTTCAAAATAGGAGGGGTAAATTTATTATATAAAGAAGTGTGGAGAAAAATGATTAGGGAAAATATTTAGATTTATAAAGTGCCAAACACAGGTGTCGTATTCTCAATATGTTGATTTATTCCAAAAGTATAACATAGGTATCCATGTTAATCGGGTGAATCAGTCATCCAGGAAACCAGTCCATATCAACAAATCAGGAGATCAACCAGTTCTTCCATATAAGAAATGGTCAATAAAAAATACAAAAATGAAAAAATGTGGGAACTTGTTCTTTAAGAAAATCATAGTTCCTTGACAGGATCGGTCGATTCCATGGGAGTTAGATTGATATTACGATTGAGAACCGGGTTGGTCGTCACCGATATTTTGTCTAGATCTTAAAACTGTGCATAGAACCATTTAGAATCAAACAAAATGTTTTAATATTTCTTATAATTACTAGTACTTGCACTTTTGCATTTTTTGCTAATAGTTTTTCGGTTTTTTTATTTTCCCATATATCCTCAATTTGGAGTTCCAAACTAATAGTTTCATACTACTTTGATCTATCCTTCCACCTTTACAATAATTCAAAGTGCTCCAGAACTATTACTTCTATACTGTTTGGATTCTTTAGGATGAGCAATTTGAAACTCGGAACACATTAATTCCTTTCAATATATTTTAGAGAAAATCACAAATAATTCTCAAGACTAGACTTTTTATGCAAGTTAACTTTTTACCTTAAAATATATTTTCTTAGCAAATACCCCCGAACCCAAAAATAAATAAAGAAAAGTCTAAACTACCTTCCCTTACTTTACCCATGCCTCTGTCTCCTCTTTCCCATGAAAAGGCAGTCCGGCATGTTCTTAGGGCGGTCCAACATTCTAATATCGGTACGGTAAATAATAGTAGCAGTCCGGCAGTACAAGTGGCAGCCTGGCACTGACATAGAAAGGTCCCGCAATAAGCCCATGCAGTCCAGACTGCCAAAGAGCGGTTTGGCAACAGGCTCATGCGGTCTAGCAACATGCCCAAAGTGCAGTGCATCAATGTCAAATACCGGTTTGACACTTTCTGAATGTGGTCCGGCAGCCCATATAAGCCCACGTGAATGTCCGGTCGAAATTAAATTTTATGATGAAAAATATTATCTTCATAAAAAAATATATAATTTTTTTTTATTTGGGGCGTATTTACTAGAAAAGTATAATTTGGGAAAAAAGTGAATTTTTTTTTTTGTTAGGGGTAACTTGTATAGAAAGTTTAATCTTGGGAGTTATTTATAATTTTTTTATTTTTTATTTTATCGAGACCCAATTATTTTTTATATATATTTTATAAGGTTGCAATCTTATACTGTTGAAACAAAGTGTACCTCAAAAATCCTACATTAGAGAGTGTCGGAGTATAGTAGAACCCTCCACCACAGCATCTCGACCTTGATATGAATGGACATAAGAAGAAAAACAAAAAATTCAAAGGTCAAAAAATAATATATCTTGTAATAAGTTATGCAAGATTTTTAAGTATTTTTTAATCTTCCCAATCTGTATTAATTCTAAAATTTTAAATTTTACAATTGAGGATAAAATAAAATAAGAAGCCACCGAAATGTTTTCGATTCTGAAATGACAAATCTAAATAACATTTATACGTGCACCTTACTTCTACAACAGAAGGAGGCAACCTCATGCAAACCTCACCCTTTAAAAAAACCCATTTCTCTCTCTCCGCAAACTCTCTCTTGCTCTCTCTTTACCCGCCCTCTCTTGCTCTCTCTTTACCCGCCTTCTCTATTACAGGTATTTATCTATATCCGCCCTGCCTTTCTCTCTCTACCCGAAATCTCAACCCATTTCTCCCTGCTCAAACTCTCTTTCTCTCTCTACTGAAACCTATTGAGTTTTTAGGGTTTTAAACACCACACTTTAAAGACATCTTTGCTTCCTACCTCTCTCTTCCTCTCTCATTATTTCTCATAAAACCAGAAGTAGAAGAAGAAAATTGAGGTGAGTTTCCCTTTCTCTGTCTCTTTTTTTCTTGGTATGGACAGACTCTCTCTCTCTCGGTCTTTGCCATGGAGCAGTTTCTTAATATTTGTATTTGATTTATTGTATCTCATTGTTTCTTTTGGTGAAATTTTAGGGCCAAAGGGAAAATTCGTGTACATCTGCTGGGCCAAAGGGAAACTTAGGGTTGCCTTTAAAAGGTCCATTGAAGTGTTTTGAGCAGGTACAACTACCGTGAGACTAGATAAACTGAGATTAATTTCTTTATTGTTATTCTTAAGGAGTAATTTCTTGCTTTAATGCCTGAATTTCTCTCTTTGACTTTTCTCATGTATTTTTTTTTGTGCAATTTGGTCGAGAATATATGGTTTAAGTTCACTAAATTTTCCCCAATTTATACCTAATTGTTTATGCATTGATTTCCCCAATTTCATTGCAAGAACCCCAATATTGAGTAGATTCCTATCTCTGTCTGTAAAATTGAAATTTGGTTATTTCTGTGAACCATTTTATCATGTTTTCTGTTATAAATTGGTTGCTAGTTTTTAGAAATATAAAAATCATACGAATATGTTATTGGTATGATTAGTCCTTCTCTATAGTTCTATTGTTATGATGTTATCAATTGGTGGTATCTAGAGTATTTTGTTATATTATGTAGAAAGGGTGCAGCTCAAACCTAAAGAATTTGTAAAAAAGTTGTAATATATGAGCAATAATATTATTGGTATGATGACTCACTCTATATTTTGGTCATTTTTAATTGGTGATATATGGAACATTTTGTTATAAAAATAAAAAAAATTAGGGAAAATTAGTACTACCCCCCAAAATCAATTTTGTAGACATCCTACCCGCCTAGTATCACACCCTAGGCCCCAACTTTTTAGGAAAAATTGTTAAAATATCAGCTATTTAGAATTATGAATCTCTCAATAAGACTTGTAATCTTTTGACAGAATTATGAATCTTTCAATAACTACTTACTCCTTTTAATCCATCGCAAAAATCGATTTAAGTTGTGCCTCTTGTTGTTTCAGTGAGATAGGATTCATCATGTCTATATTGTAGTATTGACTGTTTACAGTGTTTCAAAAAGCGCTAGGTGGCACTTAGGCGGTCGGGAGGATGCCCAGGTAGGTGGTCGGTGGGTGGCCTAGTAGATTTTTTTTTTTTTTTTTCTGGGTTTTCTTTCAAATTTACCCTTGTAGTATTAAAAAAATGACCCAAAAATACCCTCAAGAAGCCACATTTCCGCCCCAGGGTGGGGCGTAGGCCTTGGGCGGCCGCCTAGGCAGGCTCAGGCGAGCACCCAGGGTTATCTGCCTCGGCGTTTGCCTAGGCGCTAGGCGGTCCGCTTTTTGTAGGCGGTCCGCTTTTTGAAATAGTGACTGTTTATTTTCTTGACTCGAAAAATTGGCCTCATAGTCGATTCAAAAAATTCGAAGTAGGGGTCAAATTCAAACAATATAGAATTGGAGATTGAGTTTGGCTTGAGCCTCAACCACAAAGACTCATGTTATAATGTTATATATGTAAGGTGTGGAGTCAAAGTTAATACAAATGTTTTGCATGAGGGAAATAATGGGTGATGACCGATTGATTTATTACATTTATGGTGGAGAATTCCGACCAACAGGCGAGAGCACTTTAGATTACATTGGTAGTGATGCTTGTATTTATCTTGCTAATAGTAGAACTAGGCTAGATGACATGCAAAAGTACTGTGCATATTGTTTCTCAATTGATGCGCATAAGATAACATTTAGTATTTTGTCACGGGGAACAGGAGAATTGTTGTGTAACTTATTTATTGATAGTGATATTGAGAGGATGTTGAATACACATAAAGGTGACAATGATGTAATCATATATGTATGTGATGGAAGTGAACATAGGGATGAAAGTACTTCACATAATCCTAACACAAGGTACAAATAAGTTTTTTGTTTCATTCAATTTGTTCAGTTCAATATATTTGTTTTAATTACATTCAATTTCTTATTTGTACATTTAGAAGTGTACTAGGGTAATTCAAGAGGACAAGCACCCTGCAATCCTCTAATGTTCTAGACTATGGCGCTGAACAAAGCAATGCACCAAGGTTGTTGAGTTCATGGGAGGATGCACTAATTGAGATAGGGTAGGAGTTTCAATTACTCGATGCCTTTCGGGAATCCCTTAGCAAGTTTGTTATAGCATACCACTTTGTATACCGTCTCGTTAAAAACAAAGGGTATTGTGTAAGAGCAAAATCCACGGGTGATCGTTGCAAATAGGAGATATATACACGCAAAGGTTGGTAGGACTAATATATTTAGAATCAAATCATGGAAAAAAGAGCACTCATGTAATATTGGGACAAGCAATAATAAGCAGAAAAAAGTGTCATGGAACTTTGTTGCTTCCCTAATCAAGGATAAATTAAGTGACACTAAACATTACAAGGCTAAAGAAATTGTGAATAATTTGGCTTGAGACTACATGTTAGATGTATTGTATCATAAGGTTTGGAGAGGGAAGGAAGTATCCATCAAAGAAATACATGGTTCAGAAAAGCAGGCATACAACCCATTACCTGCATATGTATAGCGTGTGTTGGAGACGAATCCTGAAAGTTATGCATCGAGACAGGTATTTGAATATGGTAGATTTCGTCATCTATTCTTAAGCTTTTATGACTCAATACATGGCTTCAAGAATCGATGTCGTCCACTTCTTTTTATCAATGGGACGTACTTGAAGGCGCGATACCGAGGTTCTCTACTTGCTGCCACCTCAATCGAGGTGTAAGGGCAAATGTTTCCTGGTACCTTTGTTGTTGTCGATGCCGAAAATGGTGATAATTGGTTGTGGCTTTGGAATGTCTAAAGGTTGTTGTTGGAACAGATCGATCGATCAATTTTGTATCAGATAGACACCATGGTATGGTTGAAAATGTCTGTCGAGTTTTTGAGAATGCCGATCATGCATTCTGTGAGCGTCATTTGGGTGAGAATTTCAAGAGGGAAAGAAGAAAAATACCTAATGAGGTAAAGAAGGCAACTGGATGGGCCTTTGAACGAACATGTCAAGCATACATGCAAGAAGAGTATAGCAACCTCATGGCAGATATTAGATCATATTTTGATGCGCATACAGATCGTTGGACTACATGACCGTTTAGGGGTAAGAGGTATGGTAAAGTGACAACAAATATCTCAAAGTCGTTTAATAAGTGGATCTTAGGAGTTTGAGATTTGCCAATTCTTCAGTATGTTGACTCGATTGGGAGGCAAATAATGAAACTAATCACTAATGGCCACCTGTAGTTCGGAGGTTGAAACCTGGACTATAAAGCTTACCTCGCGCTCTCAAGAAGATTTGAAAGCAATCATAAAGAGCTCACTGTGAGGGTCCACCTAGCAAATGTAAGGGGTATTTGAAGCAATGGATAATAACCTGAATTTCACGGTTAATATTATTGCACAAGAATGTGAATGCCAAGCTAGGTTTACCTGGCAAACATGCTTGTAAAGCCCTTCAATGGCTCAATAGGAATCCCATTGACTTCTACGAAGATTATTTCACGGTTGCAAGATATCATGAAACATATTCTCGAACACTCATGCTAGTTACCTTGATCGATCTTTCCGGGTGCGGGGTGAGACAACTTCCTGAGAATGAATTAACGGTGCTTCCACCTCGCTCAAGACGCCCCGTTGACGTCCTAAAAAGAAGCGATTGAGTCACAGGAGGTCGCAGTGAGTCCTATCCACTGTAGTAGGTGCAAAGCACGTGGTCATAATAGGGCAACATGTAAAGCTAGTATTTGAAGATGACTTCCTTTTTTGGTCCTTTTTTGCTTTCCCTCTTTTTGGTCTTCCTTTGTCTTTTTTGTAGCGTGCTTTTTGTACTGGGAAATAATGTAAAGGATTCCATTATTAAAAGAACAAGTTTAGCATGTTCTTTTTTATTTTCAATGTGTATGTGCCTTTAGCATGTTCCTTTATTTAAATGCGCATGTTCCTTTTTATTTTTATTTTGTGCATGTTATATTTACATATGAAACACTAACGATCTACATGTTAGATCTAGCGATGCAAGGTGCGAACGCATCCTAAATATAAAAGGCTAGTTTAACGAAGAACTTAAATGAATGCTGAATATTTTTTTGATGTGAATGTGGAGTTCAATCATCAAAGTTTGAAATGGGTTCCTATTAAAGATTTCAGGAAAGTAGAACATTTCTTTAAAAATCCCTCCCCCGAATATCCACAACTATCATGTCGCAATGAAAAATATTCCTTGCAGTCATATGTTTTATCGTGATCATAATTACTTTCATCGTTAATATTATTTATTGTTGTTTAATTATCAAAAAGACAAATTATCTATTTGGTGCCCATGTTTATCGTTATCTATCATCCTTGGTGTATTAGAGTTTTTTTCTTTTGACATGTTAAAGGGGGGTAGGATCACATTGTGGCTTCACCACCCTGACCATATTGCCAAGGGCACCTTTCCTATTCATGGTGTATTAACTTTCTACTAGATTTTTTTGACTTTTGCTTTGTATTTAATAAGTGACCATTATTTGCTTCACATTTTTATACCAGAAGAATGGCAGAGGAAGACGAAACTCTTAATGAAAATGGTTTGTCTACTGATGCGAGTGAGCTGAATACAAATGTGGAAGATGATGAAGAAAAGATTGCGAAGGAGAAAAGGAAGAAGCGTTTACTGAAGGAAAAAGAGGCTTCAGGCAAGCGTGGTGTGTGTTATTTGAGTCGTGTTCCTCCTCATATGGATCATGTAAAACTTCGTCATATTCTTTCACAGTATGGAGAAATTCTGCGCATATATCTTGCACCAGAAGGTAATTGATTATGCTAGTTTAACATTCAAGAATAACAATAAAGATGATACTAGTTTGTTATTATTGAAGTACTCCAAAATCTTGTAAATCTCTACT